CAAATAAAACCTTCTGCTTACCACATATATTATCCGTCCGCTTTTAACATTTAAGCAACATAAAGAACTGACCGTAATAATATTTATTAAAGTAAAAGAATATAAGATATAAATGATAATATAATTTTACTCAAAATGATAGTAATTTAAAGAATTGATATCTAGTAAAATTTCTTATATAAAAATAAAAATTAAAACCAAATTATATTTAAAATATATATTAAACTAAAATAATAAATTAAAGTTTTTAAATATTTATATTAATTTTTTAAAAAAATTAATTATTAGTATATAGGTATATAGTTAACCCCTATTTACTATCATACCCATAAAACCAAAAATAAAAAGAGTAAATATAATGAAAAGTGACTATATAGAAGGACTTTTTTATAGTATTTCTAAGTATTAGTTCTAAAGGGGTGTGATTATAAAAACATTATGATTATAGAAGGAGTTTTTTATATAGTGTTAATAGAAATTGGTTTTTATGAAAGGTAAGCTTATAATAGAAGATTTATATGATATGATTATATAAAGGATGATTGTATAAAAAGTCAACTGTATTTACATTTTTGTATTAGATAATATTTATTATTAAAATAAGTATAAAATATAGTAATTTATATAATTTTTAATATAACTTAATAATAAAATATTATAAATTAAATAAATTGCAAATTTATATAAGTGATTAAATAGATTAAATAATAAATATCACAATATTACAAATTTATATATGCAATTAAGCAATAAAATTCTCAATATTGCAAATTTACAAAAATCAATTTAGATTTATCATTAAAATATTCATTTATCAATTAATTATAATATGTGTATAGAATTAAAAATATCAAATCAACTTTTTATTAATATAATTTATATAATTATAATAAGCTTTTAAGCGGAAATTTACGGAATATATTATAATCTAACATACTAAATGCATCAAGATATTTACTAGGAAAAGGTTTCGGGAAACTGTTGTTGGGTCCGGAGCACAAGTGTAACGAAAATGTATCAACTCAAATTTTGACCGCAGCGCATCGGGACAAAGCGCTTAGTCCTTCGCTTCGCTCCGGATTAATAATATTTAAATAAAAAAAAGTTAATATAAATTATGACATTATAAACATAACAAAATAACGTTTATTATAAAATATGGGTTAAACCCAATATTTATTGATTGTCTAGGTTGATTATTCAAAAGATGGTTAAAATATTTTGAGTTAACCTATGTACGTAAAAAAAAAGATGGCATTATTTAAAATTTTGAATTTGCATCTAGTAACTATTAAGGAAGGCCTAATCAATTTAATTTTGTAACCTTCTGAAGGCATAAATATTGCATTTCTTAATATTCTCTTTTAGTTATAAATTAGTCATATTTAATGAGAAGTATTTTGATGCGAGATTTTTATCCAAGAAAGGTTGTTTTTGAAAAGTCACATGAAGAAATATATGCGATAGCTAAAAAATCAAGATTATGCAAAATATAAAATCTCGATTATCCAGATAAAATTTTTAATTTAAGTTAAAAGGTCAACTTTTAAAGAACTAGATTGATTTTAAAGTCCTGATGATAATTATATATCAGACAAAGACTCCGCGAGTCGAATTTATGTTTTACTATTATTGATTGACTAATCAAAATACTTGTGGACAATTGATTGTTAAAAAATTTAAACAATTGATTATTCAAGAAATTTTAATAATTAATGGAGATTAAACCGTTGGTAATTCTGGTAAATTTTAATTAAAAATTATATAAACATGTTTATGTAAATCATACTAAACGAAGAGAGCTTCTTTCGATCTCGCTCGAACTCAAAACAAATAATATGGTTTGTTATGTTGCGCGAATTCTTTCTTTATTTGTTTAAATGAATAAAGAAATGTTTAGTAATCTTGCATACATTTTTGGATTTGTTTGTTTCAAGCCATGAAATTGTCGACTGCAATTGTTTATTATATAAAATAAATCATATAAAATGCTTACAATTGTTTGAAAATTTACAAATCATCATTCGTTGTTCTTTTTGATCTATAAAAAAAATAAAATAAAAAAAGAAATTAACTAAAGACATTCGTTTTATTCTTTCCTTTTTTTAAAAAAAAAATGATTTTAATAATTAGAATCAATAGAGATTTGTAATGGTGATTTTAACGTTCTAGATGTAATTAGATGATTAATTAAAATATGATGATTTTTTATAAAATATTTTTGTTTTCATTCTTTTTCATTATTTCAACGTCGAACGTTGAATGTTTAATTATTTTTGAACGTATTTCAAATTTCGAAGCCAGTGATGAATATCATAAACATTTTCCGATTGATATTAAAGGTCGAACCTTACATATCTTTTGTAAGTAAAAAAGTGTTACATGTACTTGAAGAACTTTCTCGAAAAATTCATATTAAAATTTTTTTTTTCATTATTTTTTAAAAACTTTTTTTTTAGCCCTCACGTTATCACAAGTAAGAGATTTTCGTATATCACAATCGTATGTCACATATCAAATATATCAAATACTAAATTTTCTTCAATATTCAGGTCAGTTTGATTGGAAGCGTATTTGTGATAATACAAACATATCGAAGATTAAAAAAAAATCTAAATTTCTCAATTGGACTTAGATTACCAATGTATATAGCAATAAATAACGCATTACTATCAATATTATATTTTGCTAATATTGTTAGTGCGCTAATGATCGGAGTACCTTGGACGGGAATTACGTGTAAAATTTACGGATTTTTCGATGCGTTCATCGTTTCCATGAGCGTAATCTTAGTTGCTCTCGTCGCCATTAGAACTTATTTAAAAGTGATTTTGAATTTTTATCTTGACACCGGAAAATATGATCATAGGCAGGTGGACACTTGTAAAAAGAAATGAATGATTTATAATGAATGACTTTTTTTAATTCAAATTTTTTTTTTTTTTTTTTTAGATTATGGTTGGTTTTGATTACAAGTGCGTTTTGTTTTTCCTGTATTGGATTCGATTCTTATGGACCCTCAAAATATTGGTGCTGGAGCTCACCGGGGAAATGGTCATTGGCAATCACGATGTCAACCTTAATCTCAGTTACAGCAATATTATGTATCTTTTGTTATAGCTGTATAATTTATACGATAACGACTGTGGAAAGACCTGATGGTATCGGTATTAATGATGTACAACAAAAAATTGCCACCAAAAAGATTTTAGCCTATACTTTTAATTTTCTAATTCAATGGGTAAACAAAAAATTTTAAACTTTGTAAAGTTTTTTGACGGCTTAACCTACCTAATTAAAAGAAAAAATTCTTTTTTTTTTCCTCGATAATTTAGGTACCTACTTTACCATTTATTCTTGGGGTAGCCCGAGGAAATGATTCGTTATGGGTTTATTATCTCTTCATTATCTCTGTTAACGTTGGAAGCATAGCAAATGCCATACAATATATTTGGCAAGAAGGATTCAGCATATCCGAAAATCAAAATCAAATTATTTTGGAATCGTCAAGTAAGATTTACATGAATTCACAAAAGAATTTTAAAAGAAAAAATTCAAAGAAAAAATTTAATGAAGAAATTAATATTGAATTAGGATCTCATAATAGTGACAGTACTAGTGGTATTGGAATCGATGGAACTTCACATATTTCTGTAAATATTAAAATGAAGGATTTGGAAAAGGTTAAATGCGTTGATAAAAATTTCATAATAAGAGGGATTTGACCCTTATCATTCTTTTCTTTTTTTTTTTTTTTTTTCTTTTGGATTCATGAGAAAAATTTTTTTCCTTTTTTTTAACATTCTTTTTTTGGATCCTTGAGAAAAAAATTTTTATTTCCTGTTTATAAAATTCAAAACCAAATTTAGACTGTTTTGCATCAAAGCATTTATCAAACAAATATTTTCTCCCTGTGCTGCGCTTAGAACATCCCGAATATACAGTATATAGTATTAACTACACCTATAATCGACAAGACACATTGCGAAAATCGCGAATTTTATTTTTTTTTTTTTGTAAAAAAAATAAATAAATAAATAAAAATCAACTACTACTTTCAAAGAAATTATATGGGAATCTAAATCGGAACAACTTTTTTACTGAGAATCTCTGCATTATGAATTTTTACAATTAATAATCTTTAATGATAAATAGGCATAGTTTGGAGAATCATGAAAAGAAAGATAAAAAACAAGGATTTTTAACTTCAAATTTCACATGATTTTAACGCATTATACCTGCGTATAAAGAGTATAAAGAAAACAAAATTTCATATATAAAATAAAAATATATTTTTTTATTTAAATATTTTTATTAGTTTGTTATTTTTCTACGTTTGTTTTATTGGTTATTATTCCCGCTTGAAGTGAAGGGTAACCAAGATAACTAGTTTCTTACGGCGAATGTTTGTTTCATGGTCGATAAAATAAAAATATTATTCAGACTTGACCTTAAGGAACAAAATTAAGTTTCTTTGAAAACTTCTCAGAATCCGATTTCCCAACAATCAGCCCATTTAACCAACTAACTACACATATTTGTTTATCCCTTATCATCACAAAAGAAATTCAAAAAAACATTGAGCAATCTGTGAAATGTTACGTTTATTCAATAAATCTCTGTTAGGCAAAATATACGTTGAATGAATGTGAATTGAGAATGTTATCCTTTTTATCTGAGAACTCGAGAACTCTACACATTTTGTGACATTCACGTGATGAGTTAATGATTGGCCGATGACATGTTGTATGATTGATTATATTTAATTCCCCAGTTTTTGTTTTTTTTAAAAAAAAAAAATAATGTCTTACTTTTCATTTTCAGATGCTACACTACTTGCAGTAATATACCGCATTGATTTTCAATAAATTTACCTAAATTTCACCAATTTGACAGTTTGAACCTATTTGTTACATTTTTCGCAGGTTTATTTATTTATTTATTTCCTTTATTTATTCTGTTGTAAACTATTTAAAAACAAAGAACATTTCAAATTTCTTATTATTGTATGCAACAAAATTAATTGAAAAAAAAAAATTACATACCATTATCGATTGTATGACTTGGTGTAAAAAAAATTTCCAGAAGAAAATAAAGTAGTGTAAAAATTAGTTAGTATAATGTGTAATGTGTTTTTGTTTTTTCATTTCCGTGCCGGAAAGGGTTACGGGAACAAAAAAGGTTATCAGAATCCAATTTAGCTATTTACAATCAAGTTTTACTTATCAGTGTGCTACAATTAAGGCTAGCATTTATTATCCGAAAAGCGGCGAATGATATATGATGGTTTTGAGAACTTCCGTGGATTAAAAGGAAAAAATAATGCAAGGGGCTTAGGGTTTATCGGAAAGAGATAATATCCGTTCAAAAAATTTTCATTATCTTTCGTATCATGTTCTCCTTGAAATAATATTTATCATTTAACCTAAAATTTAAAGTACAATGTTATAATTTAGGTTTTGTAACAAGTTAAAATTGGTTGAATAGAAAATGGAAAGTCCATTCTAGATTCAGAACAATTTAGAATACACAAAAACCATTTTGTTGAGGTATAAAAAAAAAATTGGGTTAAACCACAAAAGTAAAATTCGAAATTTCGGTATCTGTCGATCAGCAGAGGAACTGTCATATTAATCTCACATAATAATCCAAATTGGAAAATACAAACTTACTAAATGAGATAGATAAGAATGTTTCACAATATTCATATCATGTGCTTTTCGCATGCAATTAAGCCAATCAAATGTAAATTACACGTTATGTAATTGTAAAGATAGCTAATCAAGAGATAAATATAAATTTCTTCTTCGGGAGTTTACTAACCGTTTCAGTTCTGATCTACCTTGTGCATTTTTGACTCTTCATTGTACAAATCCTTGCAGTAAAACATTTTTTTATCTCGTTTTTTTTTTTTTTTTTTTTTTTTTTTTTTGGTATTTATATGTTATCTTGAAAATTTTTTTTATATATTCCGCTTTTTTTTTCATTTCTTTTTATTCCACGCTGCTTCTTTATTATTATTAAATTTATTTTTTTTTTTGATAGAATAAAATTTATTTTTTACAGCGAAAATTAATTTTTTCCTTTTTTTTTTATGCCTGAGCTTATCTTTCGAGACTTAAAAAGTGGTTAAAACATATGCTCTATTCACATGATACCCTAACTTTTAGCCTTCATCGATTGTGAAAAGTTCTCTCTCTGATTCAAGATCCATACAAAAGTACAAACCTTAAATTAGTTTTGATCGATATTTTTTTAAAATACACCATTTAAAAAGCTGATCTTTTCCTCGAGAGTGTTTTGATTTTCCATATTTATTGTGAATAGAAGATCAGAATTAACTTTTTATAAGACGTAAATTAATTTTGTATGACAAAATATTATCAGGTAAAATGCATTCGACTGTGTTACCTTTACTCGGGGTCTTTTTGTTTCATTTTTTTTTATATCAATGATTTTTGTTTTTTTTTTTACTACACATTACAAAAATCATTTTTATTTATTTTTATTTTTATTTTTATTTCTCTATTTTTTTTTTTTTTTTTTTCAACAGAATAAAAAAAAAAAAGTAAAAAAATAAAATAAAATTTTTAATAAGAATAAGAAAAAAAAGCAACAAAAAAAAAAGATAATGGCGTCTAAATTGCCAGCAGATTGTATCAATCAGGTAATTAAATATCTGGAGGAAGACGCAAGTTCCCTATATTCGTGCCTATTGGTTAATTGGGCATGGTGTGATATTTCCGTTCGTATGCTATGGAGCAATCCTTGGAAGTTCGAGAAATCATCTGATTATACCTTTTGGACGTCCATAACCCCAACCATTTTATGTTGCTTATCTCCCGATTCGCAAGAGATACTGCGGAAAAACGGCATAATCAATTCGATTTTAAATCGTCCATCATATGATTATGTAAGATTTTGTCAATACCTTACACCCGAAGCTGTCGATCAATTGACAAGAGAGAATGTAAACGAAAACAGTTATCGAGGGTATAAGGATCATTTATTTGAACAAGAGATTTATAAGCTGTTCATGTCAAAGTCCTCTCTTAGACACCTGGTTCTACCGAAAGCTCCCTTGTCTTATTGTCCAGGATCGACGACGTGCTTACAAAAGCTTCGTGAATTACAGTGTGGGAGTGATCTTTTGTCTGAATACTTTTTTGGATTAGCTCAGATATGTAGAAACATTCAGAGATTGGTTATAGACCCTTGTCACGATAATGAAGGGCTTGCAACTTTAATTGAATTTCAAACTGCGTTGAAATATGTGGAGCTACAAGCCCCCGATGGCCAGGATAATGAGTATCCTCGCATCGGTAAAGCTTTAATATCACAGGCTCATTCTATTTCTACCTTATATTTTCATGGCAGTCTTTGTATTAGTCCATCTAGTCTTGCGGAATTCGTCAATTTAAAATATTTGAAATTGTTCATATCAGGAAAGATTTCAGATTTTTCAGAATTCGCCTCAACGGTCTTTCCTAAACTTGAAGTTCTCGATATATTTTGGGATGAACATACTCCTTTTGATATATTCACCCGATTTATCGAGAATACGCAAGGTACTTTGTCAAGGATATATTGGAATACGGATTGTCCCCCTACTAGACCGGAGGAAATTAGGAATTATTTTGACATATTATCAAGGCCGAAATTCTCAAATTTGAATTTTGTCACAATTTGGTGGAATGAGTTGGCAATCGAAAAACTTTCAAGATTTTTAACAATTCATCAACGGTTACAAGCATTAAAAATATATACATTTTCTAATACGGCCGATGGTAAAGATTTATTTGAATTATTAATAAGGGTTAATAGTCCTTATTATCTTAAAGTTTTATATTTAGACGGTGATTGGCAATTTACACCCGAAGATTTGGCGGAATTTTTGGAGCAATGGAAATTATCTGGAAGAAAACCTTTATCATTTTACATTCCATTCAGATTTAATAATACTTCGTATTTTGAAGAGATCATTCAAAAATATCAAGAAGAAGGGGTTTTGAAACATTTTCAGAAAGTAGAATTTTTAGATGAAGTTGAATCATTACATTACTTATGGAAATATTAAGTTTTTTAAGTTTAGATTTTTCAATGTTATTATTAATTATGTCTTATATAGATTTGTATTATTTTATTTTCTGCTGTAATTTTTTTTTTCTCTTTTAGGAACAATTTCTTTGTAAAAATTTTTTTTTGGATCCCAATTATTACTTTTCAAGCATTAGTAATAATAATTTAGTATTAAGTAGTAAGTTTTTCACTTGTAGTTTATATTTCTTTCTCTACTTACCTATGGCTATTTTTTTTTTTTTTTTTTTCATCTGTAAAAAGGTTATTCACGTTGCAATAAAAAAAATTTTTTTTTAGAAGATTACAAAATAAAAAATAAAAAAAAAGATGAAAAAATATTTACCTCTTTATTTGATTAAATATTTTTTTTTATTTAAAAAAAAAAAGATTGTCGGCAAAAGTTGGAAATGATTTTTTAAATTTGTCACTAATTGGTTGATTAAGATGTTATGTAATAACATGCACGTGAAAGAGATTCCGTTGTCAAAAAGAATGGTTTCGAATAGAGCGTGAGAAAAGGAGGATTTAAGAAAAAATAAAAAAGATCATGATTATTTTATGTAACAAATTAATATGTATTCCCTCTCCCACCCTTATTATAGAGTTAAAGTTAACAAATTATAAATAAATATTATGATGATAAAGC